CTGCTAACAGCACAGCTGGTCAGCGCTGATATCAGTGTTAGAAAAAAAAGTGAAAAAACGGTCCCCCTGGCGTTTTAGTGGCCGGCCGCCCCGTGAAAATAAACATTTTCGCCGTTTTTATCAGATGTTTTACGGATTTCTAGTGTTAAATTAGAATAAAAACGGGGACACGGTGTTTCTTTGTCACGTGCCGACCGACCACTGAAACGCCGGTAATACCGTTAACGGGAATTTTTCTAACAGTGTATGGTGGGAGGTATGATTGCCCCTCTTTTCTGCACTGAAATGCTGTAAATACTAGTCGATACTAGTAGTCTGGTAGAAATACTGGTAGATGTAAATACTAGTAGCAAAAATTAAGGAGAATTGTGATAAAAGAATCAAATCAAAATAGAATTGGATCAGAGTAGCGGTAGCAGAGTTAATCGGAGCGGTGTGACGTTGTAGTGTTTGAGTGGTTGGACTGAAATAAGTCAATGTGTGTTGTTAGCAAATTTTTATAATGGGTATAGTCGTAGATTTTTATAAGAGCGACGATGACAGTTGAATCATAGTGACGAGTGGAGGTGGGTATGAGTGGTTTCGGTGACTTGCATTAGAAAGGTGAAAGCTTAATTTAAAACGATTGGTGGGAATATTTGAGACCGAGTTGCAGTTATAAAGTTGGAGCACAATTAGATGAGAGTGCTGGGACCAACAAAGTTTGATAATAATTGTTGAGGTGGCAGTTATAGAAATTAGCGGTGTTGTCGGTCTGATAGGAGCGGTGGTAGCAGAGTTTGATAGGAGCGGTGGTAGCAGAGTTTGATAGGAGTGGTGATGGCCGAGTTGAATCGCAGTAATGTCACTGAAACACAACGGCAGATCGTGGAATTTCTGGAAAAGTTGATACTGCTCCTCTCAATTTTCATGGGACCCAATAACGTTCACCGTTACAGATTTTAAATGGATTACCACACAGTTCCTCTGATGATGACAAAATATTAAACAGCCGTTTACTGAGCATGACTTTCAGTAGGTAGGATACGCAGAGCATTGGCGACTTTAACCACCCAGAAATAGACTGGGCAGATGAATCCTCTCCAAAAGATGGTAATCACCAGCATCCCTGTTCTTGGAGACTGGGCGAGACTCATTTTAAATCCAGACGCTCACTGAGCCAAACTATTTTAGGGGTAAACAGACCCCAAATGTTCTAGATCTTGTTATTCTAGTGCAGTGGTTCCCAAAGTGGGCGATATCGCCCCTCTAGGGGCGGTGGAAAGATTTTGGGGGGCGGTAAGGAAGAAGAGGGCGGAAGGGGGCGATAGGGGGGCGGTAGACCGAAGTCAATGTCAGAAGTTCGAACGTTTGTTTGACGATTTGTACACAACACGTGCAGCACATGACTCCCAGCGATGGTTTTTTTAACCCAGATCTGTTTTTTTAACCTCTCCTGGGTTTACGTCTCGGACAAATTAACGGCTGGACTCGCGGCCGGTCTCACGGCCAATTTCCAAATTCAATGATCAAGGAATATCGCTCAAACTAAAGAACTTCATTCAATGAAACTTGCTACACGTATTCATTAGGACTTAACGATAATGTATTGCTCGTGAAACTTGTTTGGATTTTACCATCGTTTGTTTTTGCCATTGTTATATGGCAATACGGGCTGAAATTCACAGTGATCAAATAATTTCTTCCAAACTACTGAACAGATTCGGACGAAATTTTGAATTTACAGTCCTAACTACCGAACGGTTATGTTTAGCTCGCGAAAAATTTTTCGATCGTTCCTTGGTTCGCGAGTTTTTTTTTTTCATCTTCATTCGTGATTTAAACAGCAATACGTGCATAAATTCGCAGTAATCAAGAAATTTTTTCTAAACTTCTGAGCAGATTTGAACGAAACTTAGTATTTACATACCTAACCTCAGCAACGGTGATGTTTACAATTTTTTCGTTTTGCCTTCGTTTGCGAGTTATACGGCTATACGTATAAGGCTCTTGGTTAAACCGGCCGGTAGAAAAGCTTGTCGTTCCTCCTATATCTGTATAACTCGCGAACGAAAGCAAAATAGAAAAATTGTCACGAGCTAAACATCATCGTTGAGAGGTTAGGTATTTATTTACAAAGTTTATTTGAAATCTGTTTGTAGTTTAGAAGAAATTTCTTGATCGCCGCGAATGGAAGTGACAAATTACCCGGGAATACGGGCCGAATATAAGGAAGTGTGGAATCAAGAATGAGGGTGAAATGAAAAAAAAACTCGCAAACGAAGGTAAAATTAAAAAACTTTATAAGCTAAAAAATCACCGTTTGGTAGTTAGGAATGTATATTCAAAATTTCGTTCAAATCTGTTTAATAGTTGGGCAGAAATTCTCTGATCACTGCGAATTTCGGCCTGTTTCGCAATGAACGCGTAACTCACTAATTAAGGTAAAATAGAAAAAATACGAGCTAAACAAAACCGTTAGGTTCTGATGAGCACATGTTCCAAGTTTCATTGAGCTGCGTTCATCAGTTTGGGAGATATTACTTGATAATTGAATTTGGAAATTGGTCGTGCGACCGGCCACGAGTCCGGCCGTAAATTCGCCTGCGACGTCCTTGGCTTCTTGTGCTGAAACAGTTAGCTTAAAAACATATTGGTTCACTAAATGGGATTCTATTTGTGAAATGCACATTTGTGTTTAACCTCTATCTTTTAAAATTGCAGCGTACTAAATTTCAAGAAAGTCGTATGTCTGTGGGGGGCGCTAGAAATTCAGTAGGGAGCAAAGGGGGCGCCAGCCTGAAAAAGTTTGGAAACCACTGTTCTAGTGTTTACTAATGAGGAATCAATGTTTGATGAGCTTCGTCTGGAGGCTCCGTTTGGCAAAAGTCAATAAATAATTGTTTTTCAGTATTAGGTGCTGAACAGAAAAGACGCCTCGAATGCGTAAACGTTTGAACTCTGCGAAAGGTAACCATGTTAAATTCCGTAGAGCTGTGAGTGCTCTCAGTGATTTTCAAGTAGGTAGCCGACAACCGTATGAGATTACGCAACCATGCGCAGTGGCGTGCCACAAGGAAACGATCATGGGCCTGTTCTGTTCGTTGATTTGACGAGTATTAACGATCTCCCAGTTGTGTCAAGCGTGTGCTCCATCTATGCCGATGAACCAAAAGTTACAATACAGTTAAGAATGCGTCAAATAAAGTGCAATTGCAAGGTGATCTTGATAGTTTAGTTTACTGGTCTGATACGTCGCAGCTGCGTTTTAAAGCTAAGTGTGGAATACTTCAACTCGCTAAGAACAATGAACAGTTAGATTACAGTATGAGAAAAAATTGTTGCACCGAGAGGGGAATAATTGAGAAGTCTAGCGTAAAAAAATATTTAACAGTTTATGTCGACAAGTTGCTGTAATTTTCTATGCGTATTGAAACGCAAGCTAGTAAATCCAATAAACTTCTTGGACTGATTGGCAGAACAGGCCCAAGATCACTTCTTTGGGCACGCTCTGCGCACGGCTGCCAGCAGACGCTCCTACGAGTTCCTAGATGCAGAAGCGATGAAGCTCTTGTTGGTCGCTGTCGTGCGCCCGAACGTTTGGAAACGTAGTGTGTTCGCCGATCTTGGAAGGACAAAAATTTAGTCGAGAGTGTTCAAAGACGTGCAACAATGATAATTCTAGGCTTGAAAGGCGAGTCGTATGAAGAAATATTATGAAGCTACCAAGCCTCTGTTATCGACTTCTGGCCCCTGGGTGGTGACTTCATTGAACTATACAAGTATACTCGTGGATTATGTAAGGTCCCAGTAGGATTACTAGAATTTGACACAAGAAATAGTATCAGGGCCACGGCTATGAAATAAAAAACTGGACTGCAACTTATCCACGCGACACCATATCTTCTTGCTTCGAACCACCGACATGTGGAATAGCCTCCCTGAGTACATCGTTGACGCTCCGAGTATGAACGCGTTCAAGAATAGACTAGATAAAGTTATAAATAAATTTATGTTCAGACTTGACATGCCTAGAACCATTCAAACCTGGTAGAAGTCTAGAAGCTATTTCAAGCTTACGTCAGTTTGAAAAAATCCGCTCAAAGGACCTGCTTTTAGTTCTCCTGTGATCAAGTCACTAGAAGTACAAGAATCGGCGACAGGCCACACTACCCTGTTCTTCAGCGCCGATATCACTGATATATGATATGATACGAGGTACAAATAAAATTTCTTCCAACCGCATTTTTGGAAGCTGGTGAGAACGAAAAAAGAATATAGTTTTTTGGCCACAATGGATATAATCAACTTTGCCTCGAATGAATTAGCATGTTCTGTTGCCGTTCTTATAAAATTTCGAACATGGTCATACCTTCTACCACGATGTCAGCGAAAACGCATATTGTGGCAGGCGTCAACAAGCTATGAGCTCTGATGCTGCATATTATCAACAACATATGCGTTTCATCAAAGTCTAATAAGCCGATAATTATTAGAATTTATAATATAAATTCCTAATGATGCTCAAATTCCTTATACAAACGAAAAATCATCTGAAAAGCCATGAAGAATAGCAAATTTTTATAACCATGAATTCGAAAAATTATATTTGATCTCATTGTTACATTATATAAAAGGTTTATGAACAAAAAGTATCCATTAACTTTTATTTCACATGAACTTTGGCGAGCAACATTCTCTCATTGACCATAGTTTTCCGTTGAATAGCAGTCTATGGCCCGTTGCATTTCCTTCCTCATCCTCAAGCGGACATAAATTAAATTTGTACCACTTATACGCTGTATAACTGTATTTATTGAATACAAGGCTTTTGATTTCTTCAATGTTTAACATCATGCTTTAAAGCATATTTTGATTCATTCATAATAATTGAATTGATTTACGACGCCTGGTGAGTTGATATTAGTTTTTACCAAACGAACCCAAAATGAATCACAGAATGTTTAAGAACCATGTGACTGGTGTTTATTCAAGTTTATTCGCAAAGCCTCTGCTGAGACATTTACATCGCGTTAGATAAAAAAAAATTCAGCATTTACTTTTCGATTTTCAATTTACAATGACTAAGCTTTTCGCAAAATGTATTTTGTTAGGACATGCCGGTTCTTCTTCCTTTTTGACGAAAGTCCTCCTATCGGATTTTATTGTGAAATCTATGCATGTTAGATTCTTGTGTCCTGACCTAATAAAACTCTAAAATCTGGATTGGGATCACTTGATGAATCGTCAAACCTAATTTTTTTTCTGCCATACGGTGAGTCTATTCTATTGCATACTGACTTCCGCTAACCTTAGGCCTAGTATAACTGCATAAGCATACACTTATTCATGTGCCCGTTATGTCCCGTGTGTCCATTACTTATATTATTTGATATTTAATTTTAAGTATTCATTGATAGCTACCGTCAAACGGGGTAATAAGAAACGATTTTGAGCTATTTTTGTTATTAACTTCTTACCATAAATAATTTTGTAAACGAGTTAAGGCTTGTTTTAAAGGTCTTTGCAAGGCCTATTCATCCACTGCATTGTGGTAAAGCAGCAATTTTTTTTTAGACTTTTCCTCAAGTTCATTTTTGAGTCCTACAAGTGGACTAGAAAGTACCTAGCCTATCTTGGATACCAGCATTTTCATACATATAAGAATTTGATTAAAATATTGAGTAGATGAGGAAATTAGAAATGAACTGATTCCAAAAAATCTCTGGTTTGCCACTAGGGTAAACGTGGTATATTCCGACATTGTGGGTAATTCCACCACTTCTCAACTTTTTTCCTTCATATTAGGCTTTTTCTTAGTTCCATGCATTCGTTGCTGGTTGAAATAGTGACATCATACTTTTGCGCGCCATGCTATTGCCAAAGCACTAAGTCTGGATCGTCTGGCGGGAAAATGTTGAGATCCAAAGAGAGACAGTCACAGTGCGCGCTAGTCTGGAAAAGTCCTATTTTTGTCTGAAATATCGCAGCTCTAATATCATATAATTTCAGTAGGTATGAAATCTCAAAAAATTCAGTCGCGGCTCGCCAAGTTGATATATTCCATACTAGAGTGCGCGTCACCCAGTGAGAACATTGAAAAACTAGTACTAGTATTGAAAAAAACTAGTATTGAAAGTTGAAAGTTGACCTTGCTCTACCAAATAGTGATACCTAAACTGTTTGTGTACCTAGAAAGAATAGGGTAAACGCGGTATATTCATTCTGACATCGTGGGTAATTCTGACACCTATCTAGTTTTTCCTTTATATTAAGCTTTGTCTTAGTTCCACGCATTTGTTGATGGTTGAAATAGTGATGTCATACCTTTGCGCGCCAAACTATTGCCAGAACACTAGGTTTGGGCCATCTGGCGGGAAAATGTTAAGATCCAAAGAGAGACAGTGCATGCTACCCAGTGAGATCATCGAAAAATGTGTCAAAATTGATAGTTGACCTTGCTCTACCAAATATTGATAAACTGTTTGTGTAGAAAGAATATTATGGTTTGAGACTTTTATATTCATCTGTGAGACCGTGAATAGGTATATTAGGAATCCTTTAAGTACATTTCTATTTGCTGATTTCAAGTGGTAAATAAATTAATAGATGATAAAGTTAAGAAACGGATTTAGACACATAAAAACTAATTCCGACACAACTTGAATTGGACACACACAGCTCGTTCCAAGCTGTGTGCAAAAATTAAAATTTTCCTAATTAAAAGCTTAATAGCTGTTAATTAAAAGCCTAATTAAGTACAGCAATCCCTTGATTAGCACGGTTTTGAATACCGCGGTTTTGATTAATGCGGAAAAAAAATTTGCGACCTACCCTTAATCTACGCGGTGCCAGTTTTGATTAGCGCGACTTTTTTTTTCACAACGCATCATTTTCCCTCCTCTAGCCAGAGGTGTTACGTTCGTAATGAAAGTGTTACTTTTTGCTTATTAGATCATATGTTGTTACTTATGTTATGACTTTTGGAAAAATTCGCCATATGTTGTTACTTTATGAATTTCAGTCAATAATTCTTTAAATAAGGTCCCGTTCCGTAGGCACTCGTGCTGACTACAGAGTCGGTTTAACCACGCCTTGTCTCGTTCATAACTTGAATGATCGAGTTCGGTAACGTTCGCCGTTAAGTGCGCCATGCCGGTGCTCTAGCCCTTTAAGCCCTGGTGTGACGAATTCGTCGCACAGAAAATAAAAGCTTCTACCGAGAGTAATTACATGTTTGGAGTCTAGCCGCGAGTGTGACGGTAGAGTCACATGTTGTGTACTCGTTCGAACGACGTTCGATGGAGTAGGCGCGTCGCTACTGCCAGTTTAACACAAAGACTGCGCGTGATCTGAGAAGTAATTAGATTGTTTTTTTACTTTCGAAACATAATTCAGTGCATAAAGGGCTAGTTACTTGTTACCCTTCAACTGGTCAAGATCGCTGCCATATCTACTGCTCACTTTTATCAAACTACATAATTTTCCTTTCCTTTGCTATTTTTGAGGATTCATTATAATTATTCCCATATATTCTTAAGTTTGATTAGCGCGGTTTTGCTTAACACGGTAAAACTTGGGGATTTATTAACCGCGTTAATCAAGGGATTGCTGTAGTGTTCAATATTCAATAGTGTTCTAATTCAAAGCTGTGTCGTATTCCAATACTGCTCACACAGCGATCGGAATTCGAACACAAGGATGTTGGAATTATGTATTAGTAGAGTTTGAAGCGCAGCCGGAATTCGTCTCACAACGTGCCGAATTTAGTCACACACAGCGTCGGAATATAGGGATTTGGTAGGTTTGCATTCTAAACACTTTTAAATAAATATGGCAACAGTTTGCGACTTTTCATTGTTGCTGGCTCGTAGTGCGGTGTTTTGAGAGTCACGTAAAGCAAACAGAACTTGAGTAACGCATGGTTATTTTTTATAATTTTTCATTTCCCGATGCGTCCTTAATGTGTCGGAATATACCGCTTTTACCCTATTATGGTTTGAGACTTTTAAATACGTCGGTGAATATATTGGGAATCCTTTAACCCTTTCACAGGTAAGTTACCATATATGATCACTTGAAATCACGTCACAAAAAGCCTTACCACGGCTTCCTGTTTGTTTTTGAGGCATCCTTATAACTCCTCAGTCAATCCCTAATTATCTGACCATCGTTCTATCTATAGCATCACCAGCTGCAAAGTCCACAACTTGAAATATGAGCATTTAAATGAAGGTTTTGACTTGGACAATGGAATTGATGCTCTTTCCGCATTTTCTTCAAAAGGTGGAAGTATCAATTTATATATTTATTTATTTTGGCAACTTGATTAAATTTAATCAAATTAAATTTTTATGTTTCTAATTTTTCATTTGCGTAAACTGAATTTTAATTATAAAGAAAAATTTTGTGTACTGATTGCATTTATTTAATTCTTCAAGTGCGATTTAAACCTTCAATAGGCAAAATTTGCAAAAATTCATAGAAATAAATATATTGTACGTATAATACTTCTTACTTCCTTGAAATGGTTGCTGAAATTTTAATTTCTGGATATTTCAATGCTTGCCCGCTAAAGGGTTAAGTATACAGCAATCCCTTGATTAGCACGGTTTTGAATACCGCGGTTTTGATTAATGCAGAAAAAAATTTGCGACCTACCCTTAATCTACGCGGTGCCAGTTTTGATTAGCGCGACTTTTTTTCACAACGCATCATTTTCCCGCCTCTAGCCAGAGGTGTTACGTTCGTAACAAAAGTGTTCTTTTTGCTTATTAATTCTTATGTTGTTACTTTTGTTACGACTTGTGGAAAAATTTGGCAAATGTTGTTACTTTATGAATTTCAGCTAATAATTCTTTAAATAAGGTCCCGCTCCATAGGCACTCGTGCTGACTACAGAGTCGGTTTAACCGCGCCTTGTCTCGTTCATAACTCGAATGGTCGAGTTCGGCAATGTTCGCCGGTAAGTGCGCCATGCTGGTGCTCTAGTTACTCATTAGCCTTCAACTGGTCAAGATCGCTGCCATATCTACTGCTCATTTTTATCAAACTACATAATTTTCCTTGATAAATTACCGTCATAATTATGGACAAAAAGGGAATGCTTGAACGTAAAAATAACACTTTAGAGACTAAGCTTGAAATAATTAAGCGTTTTGATAATGGTGAAATGAAAACGAAGATTGGTGAAGACCTAGGGTTTCCCGAGTCAACAATACGCACGGGAAACAATACGTTAATTCATTCGCATTTCTTTTATTTATTTCCCCTATTATTTAGAAAAAAAATATGATGAATTTTAGTGGAAAAAAAATTATTATGTAACTTTGCTATTTTTGAGGATTCATTATAATTATTCCCATATATTCTCAAGTTTGATTAGCGCGGTTTTGCTCAACATGGTAAAACTTGAGGATTTATTAACCGCGTTAATCAAGGGATTGCTGTACTTGTATTTGCTGATTTCAAGTGGTAAAAAAATTAATAGATGATTAAGTTAAGAGACAGTTTTAGACACATGAAAACTAATTCCGACACAGCTTGGCATTAGACACACACAGCTCGTTCCGAGCTGTGTCCAAATATTAAAATTTTCTATTAAAAGCTTAATAGCTTTTAATTAGAAGCTTAATTGAAAAATTAAAATTTTTTAATTAAGCTTGTTCCGAGCTGTGTCGTATTCTGATACAGCTCACACAGGGCATTGGAATTCCAACACAGGGCGCCGACATTACAAATTGATAGTTTGAAGTGCTGCCAGAATTAGTCTCGCAGTATCTAAAGGCTTTTAAATTAATATGGCAACAGTTTGTGACATTTCATCGTTGCTGGCGCGTAGTGTGGTGTTTTGAGAGTGACGTAAACCAATCAGAACTCGAGTTGCGCATACGGTGATATTTTTATAGATGTTCATTTCTTGCTACGTCCTTAATGTGTCGGAATATACCGCGTTTACCCTAAGTTCAGTAAGTATGAATTATTGCAACTCATGTATTTTTGTTTGATTGAAAATATCATGAATTGCCTTTGCTAACATGTCATTTCATGAAATTTTCAACTTTCACAAGCTGCATTACTTCAACGCTTGATGCTTCACCAAAATATCCTGCAAAACATATTGTAAATGCACCATATTCTGACATTGTGGGTAATTCCGACACCCCTCAACTTTTTCCTTTATATTAAGCTTGGTCTATGTTCCATGCATGCGTAGATGGTCATCATGGATGAAATAGTGACATCATACTATTGCGCGCAAGATTTCCACAAAATGCTAGGTCTAGCAGAAAATGTTAAGATCTGCAGAGCGACAGTCCAAGTCAGCTAGCGAGAACATCAAAACGCGTATGAAAGTTGATAGTTGACTGACCTTGCTTTACTAAATAGTGATAAGCTGTTTGTGTAGAAAGAATATTATAGTTTGAGACTTTTAAATAAGTCTGTGATTCACTGACTTATTTAAAAGTCTCAAACCATAATATTCTTTCTACACAAACAGTTTATCACTATTTAGTAAAGCAAGGTCAACTATCAACTTTCATACGCGTTTCAATGTTCTCACTAGTCACTAGTTGACTTGGACTTTCTCTCTGCGGATCGTAACATTTTTCCGCAAGACCTAGTGTTTTGCGGAAATCTGGTGCGCAATAGTATGACATCACTATTTCAACCATCTATGAATGCATGGAACTACGACCAAGCTTAATATAAAGGAAAAAGTTGAGGGGTGTTGGAATTACCCACAGTGACAGAATATGGTGCGTTTGCCCTACGAATTACGATTTTGAATCGCTGTCAGAATTAGTCTCACAATATGCCGCATTTAGTCACACACAGTGTCAGAATTCAGTGATTTTGTAGATTTGAATTCTAAATGCTTTTAAATAAATATGGCAACAGTTTGTGACGTTTCATTATTGCTGGCGCATAGTGCGGTATCAAATGATATCATAGTGTGGTATCAATATCAAATGAACATGGTCTACACATATTTACAAAATGACTGGAAATTAAGATTTGCAGTTAGCAAAATAAAATCCAAAAATCACTAATAAGGGAAGAGCACCGGCCTGGTTAAGGTGAACTCAACATTACCATGCCAGCTGTAAAAATAGAGGAAATTAATAAAATAAAGGATGTATAACTTGAGAAGCTGTAATTGAAATGATTGATTAGTAATCAAGCATTGCAGGGTAAAGTAAAGGCAAGGGAATTATCAGTTAACCTTAACAAAGCAAGCAAGGGATATAGTCATGATTAAATGGAATCAAAACAATTTAAGTAAAACCAAAGAACCAAAAGGGTTTGCAAGGTGAACACAGTTGAGAATGCAATGATGGACTATTAAGTAAGTAAAGTTGACTGGTTGTTTAAAATAGGGATCATGAGAAAATGCAGTAGTATTGAATGCAATGAATCAAAGAATCATAGTAAATCAAGAACCAATGCCTTATTTACAAAAACACAAATTAATTAAAATGCAGACATAACAACATACATACAAGGGTGAACATTCACTAACCAGCATGGCTAAGCATGAGTGTTCAGGACAGTCAGACTGCTCTGTTACACAGCTGAGAGTCTGTAATCTATTTATAGCCATTTATTTCTTGCTACGCCCTTGAGTTGATGGAATATGGTGTGTTTACCCTAGTGGCAACCAGAGATGTTTTAGAATCAGTTAATTTTTAATTTCCTAATTACCATAAAATAGGGTTACTTTGACTCCCAGGGTAACTTTGACCAATTTTTGTTTTTTAACAAAAACCCCCAAAACTCAAAAACTATTTGACATAGAAAAATTTTGTTGATGGCCATTAAAGGCCTAATACTGAGGCTACGTAACACAATAGAAAGATTTTAAAAGTTTGCATATCTAATAGGTTAAAAAATTAAAAATGTGACCCACAAAAGAGAGCTATTATTTAAAGCCTGTCTGAGTACCCCCCTCCAATTTTTTTATTTTTTGGTAAAATACAGCAATCCCTTGATTAGCACGGTTTTGAATACCGCGGTTTTGATTAACGCGGAAAAAATATTTGCGACCTACCCTTAATCTACACGGTGCCAGTTTTGATTAGCGCGACTTTTTTTTCACAACGCATCATTTTCCCGCCTCTAGCCAGAGGTGTTACGTTCGTAACAAAAGTGTTACTTTTTGCTTATTAGATCTTATGTCTGTCTCTTATACACATCTAGATGTGTATAAGAGACAGGCCTAATACTGAGGCTACATAACACAATAGAAAGATTTAAAAAGTTTGCATATCTAATAGGTTAAAAAATTAAAAATGTGACCCACGAAAAAAAGCTATTATTTAAAGCCTGTCAGAGTACCCCCTCCAATTTTTTTATTTTTTGGTTAAATAACTCCAGGTTTTGATGCATTGTAGTAGAACTCTTCTAGTTACATATGCAAAAGACAAATTTTAGGAAAGTGTCATAGTTTGCAAATGGGGGGCGCCGCCCCCCAATGGGGTAACTTTGACCACCTAATGGCAGTCATGACGGGGTAACATTGACCGGTTTGGAAATTAAGTTAGAATTACCATATGTAAGACCTGTCTCTTATACACATCTAGATGTGTATAAGAGACAGGTCTAAGATACCCCAAGAGCTGGGGTAACAAAGACCATCACTTTTTTTGAAATTACATCAAAACTATGAGAGGCAGGAGCCAGCAATTTATGGTGAGTAAAGCTAGAGTATAGACCTGTATTTTGCATGTTTCAATTTAAGTTTAACTTATCAAGTAAAAAAAATGGCATCATTTTGAAAAAAAAATGGCATCATTTTGAAAAAAAAAATGTGGTCAAAGTTACCCCATTTTATGGTACTCAAGATTTAAGCCAATATCTTAATGCATCTATTTAAGCCAATCTATTACATACATCTATTTAAGCCAATATGTATGATAATACATATGATATTGGCCTTTTAAGTATTCATGATACGTTCTGGCAAAGTATTCATGATACTTTGCCAGTCTACTTATAAGACTCAAAATTGAATGTGAGGAAGAGTCTTAAAAAAACTCTGCTTTGCCACTATGCTGCAGAACGTAAAAGCAACAATTCAACCCAAAACGTTTCCTTGAAGATTGTGTAGTTGCGGCCACGCCAAAGCGGTGAGCACTGCACTGCAGTGATGACAGACAAATGCCAGTGTTGCTATACAATTGGACTGCTTTTAGGGTAAAATTATATATATGGGGTAACACTGTGCACTAACACGTGAACGCAACTTAGTAAATAAGTCACGGCTTGAAGAAATGGAATCACAGCTCAGAGAAATGGAATCCAGGCAGGCAAACCCATAAAACCACAGCTCAAAAAATCCAGTCACGGCTTGCCAAGTAGATATATTCCATGCCTGATTTGATTTTGAGGCATGCAGACTGCAGAGTGCACTCAGTGTACTCATAACTCATCCATTACTAACAGTACTGCAAAGTTCTCCCCTTCCTTGGTAGATTATGTTAACTATTGATCAATGTAGAATTGTAGATGTAGAATAAATGACATTTTCTGTGACTTGTACTTGTTTTTTCTTTGTTGAAAAATTACCATATGCATATCCATACATTACTGTATTATTGATGTAATATTACTGTATCCATGGACATGCCATTGAGCAGGGCTGGAAAAGTCCTACCTTAGCAGAAGTGCTTATTCAAAATACTATTGCCTTTCAACATTTTTTTGGGGGGATTTTTATAACTATTAAATGTATGATTTCTTAACTTACTTTATGCTACATAAATAGGACAAATGTTGAAGTTTATGGCACTATTTTTAGTTTTTCAATATTTCAATTAGTTTCACGCCTATAACATTTTTAAATTTTACACCATGGCAAACGACTCTTGATTTACCCTGCCTGTCCCTTGTAACCCCATTTGACAGTATATATGTGGCTGACACCCCACTTACCTAGCAAGAATATTGTTGATGAGGCAAAGGGCAGCTTTAAGGTGGCCAGTGAATACTGAATAGCCAGCAGTTGGCTAGCACCAACATGCTCTGGCCAAATGCTGACCACTCATGCTCAGGGGAGAGACAGAAACTGCTTGACAGCATCTGGCAAGTAATTTATGAACTTCCACTTCTTTCATAAACCACTGGGTATGACTTGGACTCTACCCATACACAAAACTTGAAGCAAAAATTGTGGATTAATCTATGTAATTTTCACTACTTATTTTGGTTTTTATATATATATATCCAGCATAAAAAAATTTATTCCGAATCCCAAGGTACACCAATTGCTGGAGTATAAATTATAAATCACATGTGCATCACAAAAGAAAATAATTTTTTATTGTCCCGCACTTATCAAACATTGGTTAGCAAAATTAACCTCCTTTAGGTTGTTGTATTATTAAGTTGAAATCATTTATCTTGATGCTATTCTGTGCTAATAAATAGCTGGGATAGCATTCAAATTTTTAGACCAATATCTTATTTGCAAATGGAGTTACAGCAACTGAACCTAGTGTAAAACTCCCATAAGTGAGGAGTTTAGACTTTAGAGCATTGAGCTATACCAAGCAATGTAAGCCTCATGGCAGCAGTACGCTATTTATTGATCAAATGTAGTACAATCAGTGTTGTAAGTAGTAAGGCTACAGTATACTTGAATGATAAGAACTTGATGATCTCTATGTGACTAATCCAGCTACTTATTGCTGAGAAATTCAATCTTCTAAGTTCTGGAGACTTAACTAGGAATTAATTAAGCAGCATAAGTGCTTAGTTCAGGTTAGCAAAGTTTATACTTGTAAACAGATGCTTCATTATATCAGCTATACAAGTAGACATTGTAGACTATTCAAACAATGAAGAGACTGGAGCGTATTCTGTTGTTATGGTAAATTTGAATACACTATTGATAATGCTACCTCTTATTGCAGGAGACGGACAACATGGAGGACCATGAGGAGCAGAACAAGAAATGTGTTGTATGCGAGAACTGCAACGTGGGAGAGGTGCTGATAAAGATGCCCCTTGGAGACAGAGTCAGTGAGTACTCCAAGACTCCCCTGACGGATCTTCTTAGTGAGATTCTTAATGAGTCTATAACTCCTGAAACCATGTTGTGCAGTCAATGTCTACTTGTTCTAAATAAAAAGGACAAGCTCATGCTTTTGGAGAGGGAGTCTCCTGGACAGAAACCTAAAAGAGGCGGCAGAGGCAGACAAGGAAGTAGAGGTGGAAGAGGTGCATGTAAAGTTCCGGGAGCAATGTCTGCAAATCGAGGGTCTCGAGGACGAGGTCGGGGAAGAGGAAGAGGAAGAGGTCGCAAGCTTTCATCTTCCACAGATGTTGATGCTCTTCCAATGAAGAAATTCAAAAGTGACCAGCTATTCAGTGATAATGAAATTTTTGTTAAGACTGCCTCAAGTGATGAAATACCGTGCATCACAACAATTAAGGAAGAAATTTCATCTGATTGTGAGGCTGAGGCAGCAGAAATCTGCATACATTCTGATGCACTTTCTGAAAACCCCAATCATGTCGAGCCAGAGGCAATTAATGATTTTATTTCTACCCTACCGTCGGAACCATTAAATTATGAATTAATCAAGTCGGAAATCTTGGTTGATGGAAACGAGAGCGTAGTACCTGTGCGATGTATTGACGAAAATGAAGTGGCTGAGCCACGAGCTGTACATGTTGTCTGTAGCACTGAAGAATCGTTTCCTACATCTAGCCTTGCCTCCATCTCTTCTGATGACAATGATGATAGCTTCTTGGACAGGTCGTTGTTAGTATCAAATGCATCTGATGCGTACCCACATAGCATTTCTGTTGTTGATGGTTCTACTCCCATCCAGAATGGAACCGACTCAGTAACTGTTGAAATAAATGGTCAACAAATGTTGGATCATGGCTTCAATATGGAAACTGAACGCTGCATTGAATCTGAAATTACCAATACTGTTTTAGAAGTACCAAGCTTTCATAACGAGCCATCAATCTCTACAATCAAAGAAGAAATTATCACTGTGATTGGAGAAAATGGCTCTGAATTATTGGGCAATCCAACTGACGAGCTCCCTGACAGTGATGTGAACTTTTCCTCAGGCTCAATTTTTTCTTGCAATCTTTGTTCCAGTAGCTTTACGACTGCAGAAGCCATGCGCCAGCATCACGTAAAAGTTCACAACAAATTGCGCCGTGTTCAATGCAACCATTGCTCTTTCTTCTCTTCTGAGTTCACTGTTGTTGAGGACCACATGAAAAATGTACATCAAGTTCCTTGTCAACATTTCTGCAAATTCTGTGATGCTGCTTTCATATTGATGGAACTTTACAAGAACCACATCAAAGTTGTGCATAAAGCAAAGCCTAAAATTTATGATAAAATTGCCTCTTACCACCCTCGAAAACGAAGATTCGTGTGTCCGATCTGCAAAGATTCTTTTATTAGCGAAAAAGAGTTGTCTCTTCACAACAAGATGATTCATGGCGGCCAGAAATATCAGTGTGAGTCATGTAGTTTCAAGTGTACAAGTCTTAAAACACTGTCTCGCCATGACGCTGCTGTCCATAAGAAGAGCAACATGCTTTTTCATGCGTGCACCGAGTGTAAAATGGAGTTTGGTAGTGAAATCTTATTGGAGCAACATTGCATTGATGCGCATGATTGTGAGAAAACTCAACGCTGTAATTTTTGTGGTGACGTTTTCGCGACATCATCTATGCTTAAATTTCACAAAAAACAGCACAACCCATTCTGTTGTCCTTTTTGTAATTTGGGCTTCAAAAAGCGAGAGAATATGAACACACATTTGATTAATGTACACAATAATGACTTGCCTAACCTGAAAACTCCCTCAGTTGATCTGGCAGTCCAATCTACCATTGTTTTTGCTGAAACCCCGTCTATAAACCCTGATATGTCAAGTTCTGTTGTGCTAGCTACAGACAATTTCAAAGTTCCATCAAAACCTGAGAAGAATGGACATGAAACCTCAAAAAAACAACGTAACACAACTAAGAAAAATCAGGTCCCCAAGCTAGATTCTCCAACTCGTCCATACGACCAAGATGTGGCTCGTGAATATCTGAAGACGCTGCGTGGTACAGCTTATAATGTGAAAGTAGAGTGCATATTTTGTTCTAAAGAAATCACTGCTGGGCATATTCGCGCGCACTTCAAGAGACACGCTGGAGAAGCACCCTACGCCTGTCAGTTCTGCGATAAGGTGGGCTGTCAGTCCACAAACATGCGCAAGCACATGCGTACAAAGCACCCTGAACTTTTCCACCTCGTAGGAACCAAAACGCCAAAGAAGAAGCCAGTGCAGTGCGAGTTTTGTGATCAAGTCTTTGTAGGTGTGGATGAATGTGAGACTCATTTATGGGAACATATGACCCAGAAGAATTATGAGTGTTCCCACTGCAAATCTAGATTTGGTTCAATGAATAATCTGAAGGAACACTTTAAAACTCATTACTTTCAAGAGCGCAAAGTATGTCCTCATTGCCAAAATAGAAAGTTCATAAATATTGGGTTTTACAATGAGCACTTGGAAAATTGCAAGAATCAGTGGAAATGCCCCATATGCTCGAATTGTTGCATGAATGAAAACTCCTATCGAAAGCACCTGAAATTTGTTCACGGTAGCGATGACAACGTAAAGTATGTGTGCCCTGAACCTGACTGTGGCCGAGAGTTTTTCGAAAAACATCGTTATGACGACCATTGTATTACACATGACACTGAAAGGCGCTTCCAGTGCCCTCAGTGCCCGAAGAAATTCAAACGAAGACGCCCCATGGTTGATCATATAAAGTACAAGCACGATGGTGCCAGGTGCTCTACTTGTGACATGGCCTTTGTTTCACTTGAAGAACTCATTCAGCATCGAAGCAGTTCTCACCTTTCTAGCTTTCATCATTGCCCTGAATGTGCTTTCATTTTTGTTAATGAATCGACGCTTCTTAATCACATCAAGTGTTGCCATCCCGATGACGAGATCTTTGACTTGCTGCAATGTCCCATTTGTGATGAATTGTCTGCCAATGATGCAGAGTTGAGCCAGCATATTATTTTACACAGGGAAGGGAAATACTGCTGTTCGGCCTACAATTGCTACCATTATTTTCTCACGGATGATGAATGTAGAGAGCATATATCAGCTTTCCACTCTGACTTTGATTACAGCTGTGTTTACTGTCAGTCAGATTTACATTGTGAGAGTGCCTTGCAAAAACACTACATAGAATTTCACGGAAAAGAGCTAAAATGCAAACTTTGTCTTATGTCCTTCTACAAAGATGAACATTTAGAGCGCCACATGTCTCACCATTCTGAAGAGGCCAGATATTTGTGTGACGCCTGTGATTTCTCGTGCACGAACCGTTCATGGCTCGTGTCTCATATCAAGATGGCGCATAATGTATCTTCGTCTGACCTTAAGGGTTGCGTCATGAAACAGCGTGTGTTTGGATGCTCTCTTTGCGATAACCTCACCATAACTGAAGAAGAAACGCTTGAGCACCTGCTCACTCACGGCGAAGGAGAAGCTCAGCTACTACAGCTTGTGGTCCCAACCAAGCTAGAAGCAGACTCTATGCTGACAAACTGCCCGGTTTGTGATGTCCCGTGGCCGGATCGGGCCGCCATAGCTGATCATCTTACGAATTCGAAGGTTTGTGCTGACCAACTGGCTTTGGGCCAAGAAGAGGAAGAAACGCATGAGGGTGGAGAGAAAACAAATGCATCGGAAGAGCTGCAATATGTACTTGTTGACGATGATTCGGAAGGCAATGTGTTATTGGCCTTAAACGACTCAATGCTGGTTTCAGATGAAAGCGGCAAAAGCAACGGGGCTGTTGTGGAAGTCAATGGCGAGAAGTATGTGCTTTTTCAGACCAACGACGAACAATCTAAAACTTCGGGTGACATTGATGATCAACAGGAAATGGGTGAACAGCATTTAGTTACTGATGAGCATGCGATTGATAACGGCCAGCCCTTCAGTATGATTTTGGACTCGGCATCTCAATCTGACGAGAGGAGCTTGTCCGCCATTGTTGACGAACAACAGCTCGTTTCGTTAATTAATAGTTCAAAGCAAGTTATTTTCGCTCACGAATTGTAGATTGCAGATTCCAAGTTTATTTTACTCGAGAAGCCGTTTCTGCCAATGATTTGTGTATTATATTTCTTCCTGTTAACAATTACTTCAAATTGTGAGCAAATTTAGTAAATATTTTCAATTTAAAAGTTGTTTGTTTATATTGGTACGCAAATTGCAGATGATAGGTTATCATACGAAGCATTTGATTTTCTAGACGTATATTTACATTATTAGATCAAATACATAACTAGTTTATGAACAATGAAGCATTTTGTGAGCATCTGGTCAGTTTCTCTATAATTTTACATCAGCTTGCGCTCCAAGCGCGACTGCTTGAAAGTACCTCACTGTTAACAATAACTGACATGCGTGAACGTACCCTGCCAAGTGGAAAATTTTACATTTAATAGGACGCGTACTGAATACTGCTAGTCCTCGAGGTCTATTCAGCAGTTGAATAAGTAACAACTGAGATTTTTGTTGCCGTTTACAGGTATCACAACAAGACCTCAACTATGCACAGCTCTCATATTTGTAGGTACATTTCTGCGGCGAGATTTATGAATTGAGAATTCCGGTACCAGAATTAAATGTCGGATCTTGACTCAAATGATTCAGTTTGTCGCCCATGCAAAATCAAAATTTCATTGTACAGCCAGTTATTACTGGTTAACCTTTCACCACGTTTAGAAACTGGCATGAGTAACGTCTGCCATCTGCTAATATGAATTTATTCGACACGAATTATTCAAGGCAATTTATTTGTGAAAAAAGCAACGGTCTACTCTCAGCAATGAAAAATTAAAAGGACTTCCTGATTGATGGATGAACGAACGATTGCTCAATGAAAACCACATATAAGGAGGTGAAAATATAACTCTTGAAAAGATTAAACTCATTCAGGAGCTGGGGGCTGCGGTGAGCCCTCCTTCCATGCCCGCACTTCTCCCTCGAACTGCAGGGGATCGATCGTCTGTTTGGGGCCGTGGGGAGGTGGTCCCCATAGTTCCTCCACCGCTTCATAGCTGAGGGTCTCTTTTTCCAGCAACGCCTCTGCCAGCTGTTGAAAAGCTCAACTTGTAACTCATTTCACTCCATAACCTACGTTATCTATGTTAAATACAGGACTCGTAAGTTCTTTCTTGCACACGACTTAGCCATTACAATTCTTTGCACATGTTAAATGTGTACGATTATTATTAACGTGTTATGAACATTATTTATAGTCGCTTCCATTTCTAGTAACAACTATTCATACCGGGCAATTGAACGCGCTCCGGTAATCTATTCCAGAACAGACGATGGCGATGCACCTCAGTTCAGCATGACGCAAATTTGTGTACAGTAATCCCTCTTCTATCGCTAGCGTTACGTTTCAGACCTCGGTTGCGATAGATGAAATCCGCGAGTGGGGAATCGATTGACTGTTAGTTTTTATTTATATATTTATATTGTGATTTTTCCAAACTTTATTATTTTTGAGGTGTTTAAAAACCCTTCCCACACTCTTTCTACCGATCGATTTTCGCATCTGTTTTAATCTGTGAATCGACTTCCTGAGTCAGCAAAGACCCGGGTATGATTCTTCTCATTAATGTTTCGTGAAAACCCCCGCTGCAATGAAGGCGAGGTATGTGAAGCGCAATATAGCGACGGATTACTATGCATCGCTTTAGTTAGGTACCTTCATAAGCTGATGGAAAAAATCTCACGATGTCCAAATTACATTTAAAGTTTCACTTGCCTAACTAAAATTACAGAAAGTAACCTGTCATTCTCCGCATCATTTTACAAACTACATTTGTTCAGTACCTACCATACCCACCAGTTTGAGTTTGTCCAAGTTTTGTGAGATTATTTCTTCTGTGGTCTTGTATGCCTTGAATATAAGTGCATTAGCCTCTCTGTCGATAAGGTTAGCTAGTTGGTTGGAATATGGACGGCGGCCGATTGAGCGCTCGTCCGTATCAGGGAACGATACTTGGCCCACCGCCGAGCTGAAGCCAAATTGCCGAATCTGCATTGTTATTAAGACACGATCAATACAGTGAAATAAACTTTGGCAGCGTAAGAAGTGATTTTGATTTATAAGTGTACATTTTTATCTTAAATACCACGCCTTGAAACAAGAAACTTGTTGAGGTCGAAACAAATCTTCAAGGCCAAATGGTGTAAGCAGCAGGTTATCAAAACAAAAGAACAAATTTAACCCTTTGTCTATGGGTACATTTACTGTCTTCAATGCTTCTCGTACACAATAGCTTGGGGCCGAGAGGTCTCTTCAGTGCACGAAGGGTTAAATTCTTCCTTCATGTCTAGTTCTCAAGCTTACCTGAGCGTACGCAAGCTTAGTCACTTTGTCGAGGTCGTTCTGAGCGCCAGTCGTGATCCTATTGAACATCAGCGATTCCGCCACACGCCCTCCCAACGCCATGCACATGCGCTCTATAAGCTGGCAAAACAGAAGAGGGATTTTTAGATGTTGAGGATATCTCAGTTAAGCATTAGGGAATGAGGCTCTAAAAAATACCTATGAAATCTTCAGAAGGCAATATAATATGTATCAAAAAAGATAGACGAGTCACAAATTCATCAACTGTCAAAGAGGAATGAAGACGGTTCTGGCAAGTGCAAACGACAAATGCAGATTAACATCAATCAACCACAATGAAAAGAGCAACAGGAGGAAAAAGCATATAAGATGAAAATGGTTTCATTTTACCTGTTCTTGTGTGTAGAGTTTCTGGTCCTTGGGTTGGTACTGAGCAAACCCTAGAGCGTGAGACGTGCGGGGTACGATGGTAACTTTTAGAAGGGCGTCCGTGTGCTCCAGTAGCCACCCCACCAGCGCGTGGCCGGCCTCGTGATAGGCAACCACGCGACGCTCCTCTGGACTCACCGTCTGGAAGTTCAATCGCGTTCAGGTATATGTATGTATTCATGAAGTTTTCTCAAAGTAGTCGATCGAAATGGCAGTAAAATTCAATTCAGGACACTTTCCCTTCAAATCAGTGCTTTTTCGGTGATCAGTTATAAATAATTAGGTTGTCGTGCTTTGATTATTAATACAACGAACAATTTTCAGTAAAGAAGAATAATTTTTTTTTATTTCATAAAAATTTGCTCACGGACGATTTCTTCTCAATTCCGCCGACGACGCGTTCGACTGCGTATTCCAGGTCTGAGCCTGACACCTTGTCGCGCGCGTGGCGTGCAGCGTACAAGGCCGCCTCATTCACCACATTCGCAAGCTCTGCTCCTGTTGGAGGATAATTACCAGTAGGATTATGTTTAATAACGCAGAGACTACTCGTACGATTGAACTTAGCTCCTGGAGTATCAACAATATCATTAATAGTACCAACTGGCTGGAGCAGAATCACTAGATGGTTTATATATGCTGAAAAAGCGAATTCTCATAAGAAGGCATATAAATGATTACAGTATTCATGAAACGACCTTCAGTGATCCTGCATTGTGCAGACATTTGAAAGTTTATCATACAATGGTAGTGCAGAAACAGATGCCAAAATTTTTCATGAGAAACTTTTCAGGTTTCGACTAACAATGCTAACTGTTCCAAGCGATCTAGAAACAAAACACTCGTTAATATGGCCTGACTTACCACTGAAACCCAGAGTTAAGGCGGCAAGGCGCTTTGAGTAATGTTGAGGTTCATAAGCCAGAACGATGCTTTTCATGTGGTGCTCCAAGATCTCTTGACGTTCCTCCTGAGTAGGCAAATCCAGCATGATATGTCGGTCAAAACGACCAGGGCGCAGCAATGCCTGCAAGGAAAAAAAAAATAAGTCAGTAATGTATTCAGGATTTGAAATTCGATCATAAAATCAAAAAATTTCTATCTGGTCCATAATAGTAAGACTACTGACAAAAGGATTCCGAGTTCAACTTCCGATCGGATCGCACTTTGGATTAATCCCTCGTATTCTAAAAGTCGCCGTCCAAAGAAAATTTTGAAGGAACCTTTACAAATTTAAATATTCAAAAGTGCTACTAATGATCTCGGCCAGCATTTACTATTATTGACTCATGGAAACACAGGTGCATGAACGCAGTGGTATCATAATATAACGAGCAGCGAGATGCAGGACAGTCAGCCAACACTTTATACTCACCTGACATGAACGTCTTGCAAGATTGATGCAACTTTTTTGCTTTAAAGAAAGTTTGCAACATAAATAAAGCTACAATTAACGAGACTCGAGAGCATTCCTCAGCACCGCGAGCCTCTACCAGGCTGTACTGACTCCAATGTAAACAACTTTTAGGTTAAATATTCGGCTGAGTATTTCATAAACTACGTATTGCTGTCATTTATATCGAGAAGCGCTAATATAATTTTTTTACATAGTGTTGCAACAATTATAACGATACTTTTTTTTACTTAGTGTTGCAACAATCATAACGAAGACAAAATTTTGTTGAATATTCCCATTCTTCAATTTCATGACGGCATAAACGTTTAAATAAATGCTTCTTTAAATATTGATTCTTCACTGGTCAGCACGCCATACATTTCCAAATCAACCTAATTGTTTTGAATAATGTTCAACGAAAATCAGTTAACAAATATGCAAAAGCATGAATTGCAAGAGCAAACGACAAACGCAGATTAGCATCACTCAATGTTAAGAAGCAGTTGAATATTAACATGAACGGAACTAATCTGACAAAGAGTGGCAAAAAAAGACAAATATTTTATTAGTTACCACCAATCGCTAGCTAGACATGTCAGCCAAAAAAAAAGGATGGTCCAATGCTTTTAAACAGCGCAGTGACAGACTTAGTTAAAATAGGTTAACTATTATATAATAACTATTATATAATAGGTTAACTATTTAGTTAAATAGTTAAAACAAGATCGAAGACTTTTGAAAATGACGTTAGGCGTGAGCTTAAGTATTACTATATCGTACAACAGCTTAGGCTTCTGGCACACTTAATGGCTCGCGGAGATAAGATACTCTTTAAAATAAACCAAGTAGACGTCCTCTTCCGCTCTAGAAAAAGGAAAGAGCGTTGAGGGAAATGAAGCTTCAGGATTCTCCAATAAAATGAACTCAGATTCATAAAATAACCAAAGTATTATCCTCGCAACACCTTGTCGAGCATGTCGAGTCTGTTGGTAGAGGCGAGGACCACAACGCCCTCCTTGGTACCAATCCCGTCCATCTCGACGAGCAGCTGGTTGAGGGTTTGCTCGCCCTCTGAAGAACCTTCGGATCCTCCACGAGTTCCGCTGCGTTTTCGGCCTATAGCGTCAATCTCGTCGATGTAAACAATACAGGGCGATCTTTTTTTCGCCTCCAGAAAAAGATCTCTGCTCACAAGAGACATCAACATCAGCATTGTTACGTTAAAGAATTTGAGTACCGCTAAGATAACTTAGACAATTTACATACCTATTGAAAAATTTCCGTACTGTTTTCTACGTAACAATGGCATCTTGCCAGAGATAATTATAACCAGTTAGCTATATCGTTAATGATGTTTAGTTTAGTTTAGTTTAGTTTAGTGGCCAAATGTTTACTAGCGCTTCAGCTATTTAGCTATCTCGCACCGAAAGTCAAGATGAGCATCACCATAGAGATGGAAGGTCTCAATTATTCATCACCCACAAGGGGCGGAAGGTCTCAGATGTCCAGCCCGCTGAAGCTGGCTCGAAAGAAGCAGCGTTAGCATCTCAAAGAGACGAAGTGACAAGGAGGGACAGGTGAAAAGCAACAGAAACGAAGACACTCGAACAACAGGTCGCTTACACGGGACGTCGGCGGCCCCACGAGAGAGACAGAGAAGGGAAATGTAAGGAATCCTACCTACATAATAACTTAACCCCACAACTGATACCTGCAGTCAGACACCGCTAGCTCAGCTGTGGGGCGCTCAGGAACAATCCCCCTAGGAGCGCGAAATCCCATAGGACTTTTGACGCGCACAGACACACGTCATAAGTCCCCCCTGAGGGGTATCGTTAATGAATAACAGCAATGCGTATGTTGGTTAGCTACATGTCAAGATACTAATTACTTAATCAGCCTATCATTTTAAAACACATGAGCGAGTAAATTTGCCGAGAAGGCGAATGCTACTCGACTTGGATGAATGCAGTCCTGTTTAACTAAATAAGAAAATTCATGCACAATATTTTACCAACTTGGACAAGAAACTTTTCTATTTACTTCATCATAGATACGATTTCCTCATAAAAAATAACCTTACCTATCCAGTAATATTGCATTTTGTCCATACAGTAATATTACAGAAATTAGATGAAAAAGTTTTTAACATTCTCATGTGTTTCAAGTTTAAACTACAACTGAATAGATATTGCAACCTCTGCTCCCTCATCACTCGTTACAAGCCAAAATCCATCCCAAAACTTGAAGAAAGTTCGCTACTCCTGCCTGCGCAGTCACCTGACTCTGGCAGCGCCGAGGCCGCCGATCATCTCAATAAACTCTGATCCGTTCATGGCGAGGAAGGGGACCTGACCTTCTGTTGCAACCGCCTTAGCGAGCAGCGTCTTGCCGCAACCTGGTGGCCCCAGCAGCAGAGCGCCTTTGGGCGACTGTGAAGTAGTATTAGATCAAAGCCGCTATCTACAAAAGTGAATGAGCATTTGACCATAGCCGATGAATGTTAAAGTGAAGCAGCATTAGATCATAGCCGCTGAGTATAAACCTAATGGAGCATTACATCACAGCTGGTAATATAAACGTGAAGTAGCCCGAGATTAAAATGAGTCATAAAAGATGGATGTAATATACACTCGTGTCAAACCGACACGCAAAACTCTATAATGCGAACCTCAATAAAAACTGGGTAACCGGACGTTTCCTATATCATAAATCCAACTACAATCTATATACAATAATCTATATTTTAAGCAAGTTTTGTTAAAGACCAGAGAATTATTTTTATTTATCCTATACGACTGGCAATAGCTGAGGCCCTCATCATTAAGGAGAGGACTACGGCTATCAACCTTCAAAGCACCGGCTTCGTCAGAACTTTGAGATTGTTTTCCCGAGTAGTTTTTGCGCTTGTAAAATCTTCCTGTATCATCACATCAACGAAATTTTAGCATTATTTGAATGGTATCCAATTTACTTGATTTCGTGCATATGTCAACCCATATTTCGTTACTCAATGCGTCTCTAACTTGAAAATTAATGTTGTACATTTGAAACGTCGTTCAATATTAAAAATGTCTATCGGTAATTTAATTTTCAATCTTCCAACACCTACGAAGAATTTGGTACGACTTATTAAAAAAACTAACAAGAAGCTAATAAATAAAACTAATTCTCTGGTCTTTAACAAAACTTGCTTAAAAGAAGAAATCCTGCCAGCTTACACTAATAATCTATATCTATATATACAATCTATATCTACAATAATCGACATTTTTATTTCACGTTCTTCATTCTTCATCAAGTGTTGATTTATTACGAACGTTCTTCTCACCTTCGCTCCCAACTGCCGGTACTTGAAACTTGCTTAAAAGAAGAAATCCTGCCAGCTTATACTAATAATCTATATCTATATATACAATCTATATCTATATATACAATCTATATCTATATATACAATCTATATCTATATATACAATCTATATCTACAATAATCGTCATTTTTATTTCACGTTCTTCATTCTTCATCAAGTGTTGATTTATTACACGCGTGGGGACTCGAAAAAAAGTTTCGAAGAAAACACTAAAACGAACCCCCGCCCCTAGTACAGAAATCGTAGATGGACTAGGACGAGGACTAATGCCCTCTTTTGC